TCTGAAGATTGCATAAGCATGAAACTCTGGCTAGGACTAGAGCCATCATTTAACATTGTTAAGTGTTTTTTTGCTCAATAAAGGAAATCTAGGCTTCAAGCACTTTACTTAGTAAGAGAGAGAGAGTGAGAGAGAGTGAAAGACAGAGACAGTGATAGAGAGATACAGGATAGTGAAATGTTCACCAGCATGGAAATTACAACCAGCCAATTGAATATATGTTCACCATTTAGCTCTCATAATTTTTGGAAAGGCATGAATACATGCAATCTATCTTATCACCAAATATCTTGGTAAAAATGTCTTGTCATTTCCATGCATCTAAATTTTACTAATATTTATTTTATGCTAATTATCCTCTATGGTCTCATGTATGTATGTGAATAGCACTAAATTTTGGTAAGTGGCATGTTAATCTATGAGAAAATGCAGCGTTTGTGTGACCAATAAGAAAATTTAATGTTTTTTCTTTATCATTGTGCTCAATCTGTCAATATTAGCAGTTTGAACAATGCAAGTATGCTCAAACCGTCAGCTGCAATGACACATGACTTCATGCTAGCACAACCCTCGACGGTTTCCAAATATTTCAATCTATCCAGTTTCACTCATAAGGCATGAGTCAACCATTTGTATTGTTTTTCAAGCACTTTCTAAAGAAACAACATACTGGTCTCATGGTCAGAAAGTGAACATTCTAATAACTCAGCAATGCACCCACTCATACATATATATATATATATATATATATATATATATATATATATATATATATATGTGTGTGTGTTGGGTGGTTAGAATGTTCACTTTCTGACTCCTGAACACAAATCAAATCTCACCATGTTTGATTTGTCAGGGAAGTAGACTACTTGATGTTATCAGCCTGGTTGTGTGTGTGGGGATCTAGCGTGCAGCCCCTTTGGAAAGTGCTTGAAAACCATACTGCATGGAGTTGACCCAAGCCTTATGAGTGAAATCACAACCCTTAGGGGCCATTAATAGCTCTGCTCACAAAGTCTCGTGACCAAGGTTTTGAGTGAGCTGGCCTTGTTCAGGTTGTTGATCACACTAGATAACACGTTCTCTCCCAGAAACTGTAACTGAGGTCTGCTCAGCATAGTTGCAGTATAAACCACAGGTGGGCTCTGTGGGTGCTAAACAAACACAAATCTGCCTGAGTGAGAGTCTGCAATAGGGATTGGCTAGCCACCCTAATAGACGGGTATCCTCGAATACAAGTGGCCAGCTATTATTATGTATATATGGATTCATACATACATACCTCTCTCTCTCTCTCTCTCTCTCTATATATATATATATATATATATATATATATATATATATATATATATATATATATATATATATATA